AATTTTGCAAACCTACTTGTTGGTAAGAAAATAATTAGCATTATTACATAAACAAGCGAAACGCTTAAAAAGGCGAGCCATCCAATCAAGATAGAAGTATACCTCCAAGTGGACTCCTTCTTATCGAGAGACATCAAATTTGTATTGTCATCCGCATTCATTTCGATTCTAGCCGATACCTTCGGGTCCAAAATACTCACTAAAAATATCTGGCCTACTCTGCTTTTCAAAATCGAAACAGTGGTCAAAGATATCCATGTAGGTACCTCTGTGTTCAGCTGTTGTAAGTATCGCAGAATGCTGGTCAATATGAGGGAGAATGCAGCCAGAGAAAGAGATTTCTCATAGAAGAGAACTAGAAAATAGAAATGAAATAGATAGAAATTTCTATCCAGGAGAATTTGCAAAGTAAAGAGATTCAAACTGTACAAGTTTCCAAAAAGGCAGAACGATTAAATTGCTTACTTAATTGTGGAGGATGAATACCATTAAAAGGTAATTTCCACTGCAGATCCAACAAGCAGAACAGATGCAAAATAAAATTCATATTTGCTATTACCATACGTTCAGTGGACTTTGGTTCTAGCCACAGTGTCATCAGTGTCATCGTCATTAGTACTAAGCGTTAATGTAAAATAACTATATAATGTATTTGTTATTTTATTAGATTTGTGAAATACATGTAACGTTTTTACAAACCTATGGCCAACGTCACGTACGTTGTTGCATATATGGAGGCATGTCTCTTTAGAAGAATATTATACGATAAATAGTCGGTGGTAAACTCTAATCCGAATTTAGATTTTATTACACGTTCGCTTTCGGAAATATTTGCTACCTCCCATCCAAGATTTTTCTCCATCGAATTCTCTGCAAACTGAGAAATTCTCATCGTATATAAGAACCGTTCAATTTCATTCGAAACATTCGAATAATGAATCCATTGAAAATATCAAATGAAAATGCGTGGAATTTAACATTGATAGTAAACTAAGCGATTTAAGATTGCTGAACCGTGAAGTCAGAAAATTATAATAACACGGGATCTTGAAAGCATCAAAGTTTCATACATACTACGTCTGACACATCGGTAAAGGATGGACGTAAATTAATCTCGTCGCTCGCATAAGACCATGAACCAACGTGGATGGTGCAATTCATCACGTCGTAAGGCCACCAAGTGTGATCCGACTCGCAAAACGTCGTGTACGTTGTCGTCGGTACGCACAATACCGTACCTTTATAGTTTACCACGCAGTCAACTATCGGAATCTCAATATCGACATCTATATTTGTCCTAAATATCAAGATTAATGATTATTAATTATTGTGAAGGAAAATTTGGATGCAAGAGGAGAGTTGTTGCAAAGACTTCAATTCTTCAAGATCATGGTGGATCTAGTGATGAGAAAGATTTTTCAATGTTTTCAGAGAAACATTGATATATGATAATTATAATAATTTAAAATATTGATGTTTTTAAATATTTTTAAGATTTTTAAAATACTGATAAGTTTTAGTTATTGATAAGTAAGTAATATTGATAAGTTTTAGTTATTGATAAGTAAGTAATATTGATAAGTTTTAGTTATTTATTCCACACTAAATAAGAAATAGCTCAATTTTAGTTACAATTGATTCTTTTCATGGGATCCTTCTTGTATCCAATAGTATAGTTGCGAATAAGATGAATTTAATAATTGGATTCTTGAGGCTCGGAAAGATCAAATCAAATTATCCAGTCATTGTTACAAAGACTGTTAATAAATGTTGTTTTATGTGATACGCATTTTTTATTAATTACTTACGTGCTGTGCATTACGATATCCGGGACCCAGATCTGATAGCTTTTCACGCGAAGAGAAGCGATAGAGTCAAACTGCGATTTGTCCCAAGTGAGATGAGGCTCTGTCCAAACCTATTATTTATCCAATGTACGAGAAATCTCAATTCTTTCTAGATCATTTGATAAAAATCGAAGACACATCAGGATGATGACTTTTTACTCACCATTTTTACCCAAACGCTGAATTCAACGGTGTTTGTCATCTCATCCTGACAAAGATGAACAAAGTGCAAAGAAATCAAAGATTTTAAAAAATCACACTTCTATTAATCTATCAATCTTGGTCCTAAATATATATTTCGATGTTTTGTTCAATTATTTACAGACACGTTAATCAATTCATAATGACAGCATGATTCTAAATCATTTACGTAACGATAATATATTTTGCTATTCACTTACTACATACACTTAATCATTTAAATATCATTGGTTAAACATCTGTCGCTTCAAGTGATTCTTCTTTATCCGATTTAATAACTCGAAAATTATACAATCTAATGATAAAGAGTAATTGTAATATTCTTATAATGTTCGACAGTTGTAAATACCAATTTTCACTGTTGAATATAAATTTTTAAAAATTGGTTCCCTCCCCGCCAAACCAGAAAAAAAAAAAAGACAGAAAACTTTGCTTCACAAGAGTTACTTACAACTTGGAATTGGTGTAAATTTAACCCGAAGTTAACAACAGTGGCGTTATTTTTCGCGAGCATGCGATCCTTAGGATTATATTCACAAAATAAGTACTCTTTCAGCCGCGAAAGCGCAGAATTATCTACGATGTCCTTGCAGCGTAACTTTATGCACATCGCCTGTTTATTCAGCAGAATGTTGAAGATCACGAGCAAAGCAAGAAATGAATTCTTCATGTTTGAAGTATGAGAGCACGAGACAAAGTGGCAGATCCGCGGCTCGTACGATCGATAGATCGAGGAGAGCAGCCGCACGCCCAATGAAACACTAAACCGAGAACGTGGAAAACCGCCCCCTTTTGCTTCGTTATCATTTCAACTTTTATCAATGTTAGAATTTTGACTATGGCTGTGCTGTCGAGTATAAAATGAAAATAGACGACTTTTATTCATTCTAATTGAAGAAGTCGCTTCACAGTGATAATTGATATCGTCTCGTGTTAATCAGGCAGACGTAAGTAGAATAATCGTTGACAGAAAGTAATCGTGATGTCTTTTTAATAGTTCTCTTTCAGAAGAGAATAAATAAATAAATTTTGATCTGGAATTACATTTTTTGGAGTCAACGATGACATTAAACTGGACATGTTATATTTAGACATCATGCTACTGTACTAATAGAATAGAATAGTACAAGTAATCAGTTTCATTTTGCAGTTGATAAATTCTTTATAGACTTTAATATATCAAGCCAATATGTCAGTGCTATCAAAATGTCTATTAATAAAAACCTATTCGAAAACTGGAAAACAGAAAGGGGACGCTATTTGAAATCACTGGAATTAAAATTCGAACGGGCATTGGCATAATTTATTTAAAACTCTATATAAATCTCGTAACAACATACACGAGCGTAAAATGTCTGATAAAAGGAACAATCTGAATCAATCTTTTGTTAATATAATAAGAAAAGAAAAGGGTATCGTCATAAATGATCGTTTATTGTAAAATGAGAATCTACAGTTGATTTCCGATGAAAGACAAAATAGGGGACGATTCTTCACGTGGATGGTACAAGAGTGATTAAAATGATGACGTAGGTAAAAATAACAACGAAGAAAGACAGCCATTCGATGATGGCTGCGAAATGTCTCCACGACGATCCCCTCGGCTCGGTTGATGATTTCGGCAAGTCTGAACTATCCTCGGTCTCTCCGCCCAATATTCCCCTGCTGGACGATTTGGAATCGTCGTCGGTTAGAATGAGAAAACGTCCAGCTCTGTTACTCAAGATGAACGACGTGGTCGTCGAGATCCAATATGGCACTTCGATGCTCATTCCTTGCATCTTGCGGAGGACAGCGGTTAAAACTAAGGCGAACACGGCTATAGCTAGCGAATCTCGATAGTAGAGTACTGGAAGAACAAGTATTTTGACTGTAAAGAGTATGCCTCATTATAGATAATGCACATTTGCAGTGCATTCACAATAGAACGTGTATTATGTTGATGGTGGAAGATGAAGAAGATGAAGAATAAATAAAGTAGAGGATTCGCACATCGTATAAAATATTCTAATTAACATTATATTGGCTATGTTTGTGAGTAATAGAAAAATTGGAAAATTTTGTTAGAAATTGTTGAATTAAGAACGCTACGATAATGTTACTAATCATCGCTGAAAACTGTATAACTACTAACTATTGAAAATAATATAACAGTCGTGACGTTATAGTATTAATAGGCTAATAGTTGGATAAATTTGTATTTGTATGGAATAATATAGACATAAAGTAGAATTAGATATATTTAAATTGTTTGAAAAGTTCATAGCGATTTGATGAGATACATTGGATCACAAAAATATTTATACTCTTCTGACTTTGAACGATTTATATTGTTTTACAAAATAAATTTCGAGATTCCTATCAATAATGTATTTCAGAAGGAATTAATTAATTAATTAACATTTTCATTGAGGTAAGGGTTTTAAAACTTTTAACTCAAAAATGTATGAATCGTTCAATATTAACAATTGAAGAATTTTGAAAAGAATATTTCTACGACACACTACTCTATTCTGTTCTATTTTCATTCTACATTATATTTCCATAATATTATCCACGTGTTTAATTTCCATATGTTATTACGTCTCTATAGTGTTATTCTTGCAGAGAATATTATGTTGCTATTATTTATTATATCTTTGCATGAAATTGTAATTCCATGATAATTACACACATATAAGTATTGTTTTCAAACATAACTCATTAATCTTAATACTTCAAATGAAACTCTTTAATTTAATTTTGATTTCTTATCTTATTTTACAAGGAAAGTTTAGCAATTTGAAAAAATTTGCACAAATGTGGTACAATTCACAGGGTGGTAGTAAAGAAACAATGTTTTTTTTCCTGGTGAAAAATAGTCTCAGAAATGAAAACACTTCTCTAAAGAAATTTTGGACGAATATGCTACGTGTGATAAAAAAAAACCACTTTTTTGTAATACTGAAGATCTATAACATTTGGAGATTCTCTAAACTAACAGAAGTACTGTCAGTTGTTTTGCACTATCGTTATCTTTATTAATTATCAGATTAAGTTCTGGGACATATTTGAAGCGATTTTAGAAAACTAGAGAAATTAGAGAAACTTGTAATATTTCATTCTAATCAGAGAATTTCTCCAAAGAGAAATTATGAGAATGGTAAATGAAAGCTTTTCCTCAGTACTATTTTTTCAGTAGAAAGAGAAGATTGTTCCATTATTCACGTGAACTATGTACTTATATATTATTGTAAATACATTTTTTCTAAATTTTCTACTTGCCAAATTTTCCTTGTTAAGTTCATTTTTTTTTTATAATACTTAGTGTACTTGAAATACTTACATATGTTAGGAGGATTGATACCATTATGAGGTAATTGCCAGTGTAAATCAAATATACAGAGCATATGGCAGATCAAGTTCACACCGGCGATAGCCATTCTCTCCGTCGATCTCGAGTCCAACCAAAGTACGGTCAGCGTAAGCAACATCATTGCTATTGCAGGTGTGATGTACGTAGTGTGCATTATACCATAATGTCGGCTTACAGTGAACTCGTACACTATCATCGGGTATGTGTCGTTCGGGCAGCATTTGTACTTCTTCAGCACTTTGTACACGTTTACTACTTTGAAGTCCCATTCCGTATTATTCGTGAATCCGTCCATTTGGAACTAAAATATATAACATTATAATTAGACTGCGGATGCTTATGCAAATTCATATTTTTATAAATACATAATTGTATAATTATAAATATATAAATGTATATAATATATATATATATATATAATTATGTAAATATAAGTACAATATAATATTATTATGTATTTATACAAATATATAATTATATAGATTTAATAAAAACGAAACGCAAGTAAAAAATTGTTATAGCTAGTAAATGTACTGAATATACTAATGAATATCACGTTACATATTTTTCCACGTTATAATATATTTATTATATAATATTTATTATATATTTATTATATATTTATTATTATATATTTATTATATAATATATAATATTATAATATATTCAAAGATATCCTAATAAATGCTAAAATAGTAAAGAAGATAAAAAGCCGCAATAATTAGCCCCCTTTGGCACATCCCATTGTTTACGTTCACATCTAAATTTCCTAGACAGTCAAAATCTTATCTGTGAAAATTCAGGAATATTTATCAAAGTCGTTGTACGATCAGCTTCCAAGCTGAAATAATTGCCAACGAAGGATTAATGTCAATTATAAAGATTATGTTGCATCTTCGATTTTCTCATGATACTTCGCCGAGATGTTGAAATCTCACAGATATTTATGAAAATTGAAATTCATTTCGGTTCAGTGTCAATTACCCCTTTCTTGTCCAGATGAAAATTCACTTCCTCGCCAGAATGTGACCACGAGCCAAAAATAATTCGACACCGATGCGTGTCATAGGGCCACGAAGAAAAGTCTGTGGAGCATTTGGCAACGTGTTTCACCGATGGCACGCAGCTAACCGATCCTGTGTTAAAGATCAAGCAGGTTGTCGGCGGTATGCCGGTCTGATCGAACGTCATGTCACCACTGTTTAAAAAGAAAAGAAAAAAAAAAAAAGACGATTATGTAGCATATTTGTAGACGATTAGCTTTTCATTCGTTACATAATACTTATCTCTTATTACTATCAACCGAGAGAAGGAAGAGAATTAATATTCTAGCGCGCCTAATAAAAATCGAAAGTCTGAAATTATATTCTTGATATTCGAAAATTTCTGAAAATGATTAAAAATCATCTGATAGAAACGGAGGATTTACTCGGAAATAATTAGAGTCTTTATGCATCCTTAAGATTAAATTTAAACATAAAATCGAAACGAGAAAATCCATGTGTATACCAATAAAATTTATTCGATGTTTGTTCGAACGAGGTATAAAATATTTTTAAATACCGTATTGTTAAAAATGGATCACTGGATTGAAGGTAATGACCGAAAGAAAATAGAATAAGAATAGTGTGCTCGTTGTGGATAATTTTCAACAAGTTTCATCAATTTCATTTCTATAATCAGGTTCATAAAAATATGCACAGAGATCCGCAGCCTAGTAATAACAATCATGCTTCTGCTTACGAATTATAAACGGAAAGATCAGGAACCCAAATCTCGTCGCTTCTTATATGAATGAAATTAACTCCGTCGTAGTCGCTTGCCTTCCAAGTTAAATGAGCGTCGTTCCAAACCTACAAACGGCGATGCTGGAATTTCATTGCGAGAAAACACGATTGAATAAAGTGATAAAGTAAAGAATAATCGCCACTCACGAGTGTCATCCAACTGTGCAATGTCATTCTGCCGTTCCAATCGTCCTAGAGGCAGATTCCAACAAATATGAGCACAGACGAATTCAATGAAATCGTGATTGTGATCTTTAGATTGTGATCGATTTGAATAAATTTCCGTATACTTTAGGAATAAACGTTATTAGCGTGTATGCTTGTAATATCAATTAATATCAATCGAGTTAATAACTTCTTTTTATTCTTACAAGTTCTTTTGTATGAATTATTTCAATTTCAGCACACACAGATAAGGACACTGATATCATCCGGGTATTTTGACTAAAAAATTTTGCTATTCGAAAATCGCCACAATTATCCATGGCACGCGTTGAAAAAGAAAGAGAAATACTCGGAATGTTGGATGATACGAGCGATAAATTTTATCAAGTTTAAGAATGTACGAATTGTGGTGTAATTTGTACGACGCGAAAACGATCATCGAGTTAATCTAAACGAAGTAATCTAAATGAAAGCTTACGAATTCCAATAATTTCGGCAGTAATTGCATGGTGACATTGTTGGCGACTTGATGAGACAGTGTCGGTCGAACGGTGTGATCGTATTCGCAGAAAAGGAACCTCTTCAACCTCAGCATCGGCGACGTGGTGTAAGTTTTGCAATTGAACGCAAGATCGACATCCTCGATGAAGGAAGTTGCTGAGAGAGGATTTTGAATTTGGATCGAGCTTTCTGAGTGGGGATTAGCGGAGAAAACGATGAGATAAGTAATATAAAATTCAACTGTAGCATACTGCTTTCCTTAATTATTAAGGAAATTTATTAACTTAAAATATAAAACAGCCATCAATCAAGCATCGATCAAGTATATTCAGTAGAAAAGAAAAATTCACGAAGTGAAAGTTGACCGCCAGACTGCGAACTTTTATGCATTTCTGAGAAATCGAAGGATTTAAAAACATAAAAATTACACGCGAAATGCAACAAAAAAAAAAGTGTGTAAAAGTTACAATGCGTGACAGAGAGGGGAAAGATCTTTGTTCAGGATTCCTTTCTCTTCTTCTTCAATTGTGTTTAATTGTAAAAATACGAAATAGCATAAAAATCCGCTGTTTATTGATCACTTTCGCGTGGGTGAAATATCAGTGACACACGATGACACTTTACCCGAATCATGGCCAAGAAGAAGAAAACACCCGAGCACCGTTAGTATCCTCATTTTGATTGAAATGAGCCAACAGCCACTAGTCGACTGAACGATTTCTCATTCGTGGCAGAACGATTATCAGACGCCCCGTGAAATTCGAGGCGACAGATAGGCGAGACGCCCCCAGGGTGGTTCAATGCTTTTTAAATATTTTCCGATAGAGTAATAATAACTGAACGATTCACTATGCATAAACAGTCTGACAATAGATGATTGACCAACAGAATTTTTGATGGCTTTGTTTGAATTCCATCGTATTACCGAACCATTTACGGTTTTCACTGCGAAATTATCTGAAGTAACCAAAAAACAAGAAAGAAAAAAAATACTTCCAAAATATTTTTCACGATACAGCGTAACATGAGAATTTTTAGACTGGAATTAATTTTGAAATTTAATTCACTTTTCCGTCTCACTTTACTAAAGCAAATTTTCAAAAAATCGTATCATATTTCAATCATTAATTGCGATTGATAAACGATATAATAACACAAAAGTGGTATTTCCTTCATTTTTCAAAATATGTCGAAATATTTCAAGTTTTTCGACAATATCAATTATCAATTATATCGAAGAGAAAGAAATCTGCTCTAAATCGTACATATCCAGTATCAAGAATCATACTACAAACTAGAACTTTTCATATAAAAAATAAACTAGGAACTATAAATTTTATATACTATGAACTAAGACTTTTCATATAAAATATGAAATATGAAATATAATAAAATACATATAAAATATGAAGATTCATAAAATATGAAAAAGTGATTACGCCGAATAAAACAAGAAAGAAGTTCAAAATAAGAATAAATGCACATAAATTCGCATCTTACGGACTATCGTGACCTGAAATATCGATATACTATCGAGATCCCTCGTCGTCCCACGGTGCCCCACTGGGGAGTCTAACATTTTACTTATCAACTAATTGTTAATTTACCTACAGTTCAGTTTAGATCGTGAAATAAAGAAAGGGAAGAAATTTTCACGATCTAAACTGAATTATAGGTTGCGTAGTTCTTAGCTTGATATCGTTTTACAAACATTAAAGTTTATCGTCCATCGTTTTACAGTTTAGCTTGACAACGTTTTACAAACTTCAATGTTTGTAGAACGATATCAATTACCAGGTCTCACCACGAGGAGGTGACTACGCACGAGACCCGCTTACAATACATTCCATCCGTACATACAATCATACAAAACATAAAATGCATACGATCATACAATACATACAATAATTCGCAGCCCTAGCACCGTATTCTGTACAAAGACACGTTTATTGAACTTGGGACGAAATTAGGAATCCCTCATCTCTTCTCTTCTTTCGTTCGTTGTTGCTATTGCTACTTTGTCATTGCACTAGAGTCGAGTTTCCAAGTTTCATAGTCAGTGCCAAATCGAGGTTCGAGCATTTAGTCTAACGCTACCCCCAACGACACAATGGGGTTCCGCTGAATCAGATTACCAAGGACGCTAGATTACAAGAATCTCACCTCGCCCTTTCGGACTCCAGTGCAACGAACAAAGTAGTAACAACGAACGAAAGAAGAGAGGAAACGAGAGATTCCTAATTTCGTCACAAGTTCAATAAACGTGTCTTTATACAGAATGCGTTCACAATGAGTTAATTAAAACTAAACGCACGCAACTTAAATCCAAGACGCACGCATCCCACGATGTCCTTGGTGCTCCGCTCGGTCGATGTGCACACGACAGGAGTTCAATCGGTAATGAAGCTCCCTACCGTTCGGGGTTAATCTAATATTTCGGTCGTCAGTGATCCGGAACAATTGATAACTTTTTTTTTCAAACTTCTAAAATTCAATCTTCGTGTACACGTTGAAAGTTTAATTCTTTTTGAAACTTGTAAAACACGACGAGAGTTCAATCGATAATGAAGCTCCCTACCGTTCAGGGTTAATCTAATATTTCGGTCGTCAATGATCCGGAACAATTGATAACTTTTTTTTTCAAACTTCTAAAATTCAATCTTCGTGTACACGTTGAAAGTTTAATTCTTTTTTAAACTTGTAAAACACGATGGGAGTTCAATCGGTAATGAAGCTCTCTACCGTTCAGGGTTAATCTAATATTTCGTCGTCAGTGATCCGGAACAATTGATAATTTTTTTTAGTATTTCGAAAAACAGTTTTCCCATTATACTAATCAACAATTTAATAGTTTTTACATTTCTATCGCAATGTTACAATGTTAAATGTAATAATTTATTAATTTCTTTATCAGCTAAAACTAAAACTTTACATTTTCGTGATATTAATTTTTAAATTATAGCTGCATTGATGTATGTTAAATAGAAATTTATGTAGAGAAAAGTTACGTAGTCAAAAATTGAATTGAGCGGTGATTGTCCCTTCAGAATAATCGCGCAACGTATAAAAAATTTTCCGCCCGTTTCATTGTTTCAAAGAATAAGAAATATGTATATTACTGTCTTTTCCGTTATTGTAAACAAAATAATTTAATTATTATGAATGAATTATTCAAACTATGAAATAATGTTTTGGAACTCAATTGTTCTGATATAGAGTAGAATGATTTCGGTTACTTCACAATTGCTTCACAATTCGGTATTGAATGTTTGACAACACAGTAATGGATCTCAAAAATCATGTTGCTGGCGCACTCACTAGTTCCACAACTCACCGTTGTTTAAACGTAGAGTGCGCTAAAAATCCAAGTGGTTTTTTACAGTGTCGGTATTTCAGGTCACGGGCCACGAAACCCCGTAAGATTCTTGGTCTCTTCAAATAACTCGTCGATGGTCCTAGTTAGTCCAACTACTCACAAGTGATCGTATATCACAAGTGATTAGTTGAGCATGCGTAGTAAGTACTACGCTCTTTCTTTAGGCAGGCAATCCAATCGCGATAAGCGTCAGTCTGCCGCGCGCCTTCGCACTATTATATGTCGCTTGATAGTTTTGTAAACCATTCCTTTCGCTGGACATCAAAGTAATTGACGTAATGAGCAATACGAAATACATCGGGGCCCTTGATGTCGGAACTACCACCGTGCGTTTTCACATACTCGACCAAGAAGGGAACACCGTCGCCTCTTCCGCTGATAAGGTTCGATATCTATCGATTTATCATTTCCAGTTTTTGCAAATTCTTTAACTCTTTAAGAGATTTTTTTTTAAAACTTAGAATTTGGGGGTACATTGCTTTTAATAAAATAGCGAGTAAACATTTTGAATGTTTGCAGAACGTTTAGAAATTTAAGCCTGCTATTTTGTCTTTTTTTTTTTAAGAAGTTTATAGTTTTTAATGAGGAGATAAAATTCAATAATATTTTATGGTATTTTTTTCTAGGAGAATTCGTTAACAGATTTAACCTTGCTACCTGTCTTTGTGTTTTCTACGATATTTCTTTTTTCTTATTTGTTTCGACTCGTAGCTCGAAAAAAGCAAAAAGTCAGTTCGTCAACTTGGAAGTTTACAGTTCACAATGTTTACAGAATTGTGCGAATAAAACTCGAAAGTTTAGAATATTTTCTTTGAACTCTTTTAGAATTAACTTAGAGCAGAACTTTATATTTTCCAAAGAACGTATATGTCTTCAAATTATTATAAGAATATACTTACTTGCTTCTAACTCCTTAAGCATAGTTTTAATACTCTTTGAAGAAAAAAAATTATTAAAAAAATAAGAACATGATCGGACGAGAGATTCCAAGTACGTAGCAAGGTTAAACAAAGTATAATTATAGGCAATTATTGAGAAACTCTTTCCAGAAAAAGGGCAGGCAGAATTTTTAAGAATTCGTTCGAATATCTCTACATTGCAAAAATTAGTATGAATCAAATTTTTAAAAGTTTATAATGTAATCTTCGTAGAGGAATTCTCTTAAAGATTTAAGCCAATTATGACAAATAATTAATTATTTTAAAAAACTGGAGAAGAGAATTGTAAGAATTAATTGGAAAGATTTTGAACGTGATTTTCTTAAAAAATGTTTTCAAAGAACACAGATCGTGCGATCTTGATAAATCATTTCTCTTCCTCTCTTGAATTGAAATCTGCATCTTGTAACAAATTAGAAATTAGAATTAAAATCAGAGTTGTTTAGGATCGGAAATTAACGTTGAAATTTAGAATTGAAAATTTCCTGCAAGTTTTTGTGCAAATGTAAAAAGAAAAAAAAAGGATGTTGTTTGCATGTTGTTGAAATAACAGCAGTCTAGATTTGAAATTCGCTTTTGTATGCAACTATGAACGAATCGATAACAATAAATAAATTATGGGAGACTACGTAAGGAACTCGTACAGAATTTAAAATTCAGTCGTACGATACTTATTGACTTTCTTTTTTTATATTACGATATCTTTGCATTTTGAATTATAGCATCACTGCCAGAATGTTAGAAAAATGCAGTATCAGATAATTCCCAATTTTGGATATTTCTACGGAAAAATAAATATAAGATTAAATTACATGATTAGATACTGATCGAACTAAATATTTCCAGAATATGTAACACTATTTGTAGTTAATCGCAATAATATCATACATGTAGTAAATTATACAATTATATAAAACATTATAATTCAACAACGAATAATTCTGTCACAAGTTCATCATAAATTATTATTAAATGTAAAAGAAAATGTTCGATTGAAATAAATCCATCAAACACGATTCTACGATCGTAGAATGCTATCGTTAATGTGTTTCCCGGTATATAAATAGTAATTGCGATTAGATTTCATGCTAATAGATACGTTGTGCAATGAATACAATTTAGATTTGTTTTGCCTAATACGTCACAAAAAGTATCGCGCTTTGAATATTTGATACATATGTCTGAATTTTATATTTTCGCAGCGTAGTATAAGCATAAAATATTATATGTATGATTATAAAATTAAAGAAGTAATCATCGTACTTGCAAAACGCAGACGATAATCATCAAAAGATCTATTATCTATGTAAAAATAATTATGTAGTATGTAGAACATCGTACGTAATTATAAAATTATGAAAATAATTGCAAGATTTTTGATATTTCGTTTCGTTATAAACTATTAATTTAATGCATCATTACATGTAAAAATAATTATGTATACAGAACGTACGTAATTATAAAATTATGAAAATAATTGCAAGATTTTTGATATTTCGTTTCGTTATAAACTATTAATTTAATGCATCATTACATGTATACAAGTAAAGTATAAATATATACAAATGAAATAAAATATAAAGAAACGACACGTACATATGCAAATAAAATGTAATGCAAAAGGAAAGCGTTCAAAATTCCAAGAACTTGCTCACAGTGTTCAAAGAATTGAAAATTACAATCTTTAGAGATAAATACATCGATCTTTCTAAGCTGATCTACATTTTTTAACTAGATCATGCGAAAAGGATATCTGCAGAGGCTGTGTAATAAGAAACAAAACGAACAAATAAAATTATCGTCGATTCTATAATAATAATTCTTATCTCGATCTACATATGTCCACGTAGCAAAGAAAAAAAAAAAATGTTTTCCTAAATCACCTTCCCGATTTATTGAAGCAGCATTCACTTTCGCGGTGATATTGTCGTTTCAACATTCGAAATTACAAACTGATATTTGCCTTCTGGCTGTGATCGTTCTGTTGTCATATGATCGAGACAAAACGTTATCAATAACAACTAAACGGCCTGACGATTTAAATGGTCCTTCGTCGCGTCTTTTTTTTTTTTTTTTT